GAAGCCACTCAATGATGGCCCCAAATAATCCTTTCTCTGCCTCTATGCACATGCTGCTCTGCTCATCAAAAGGGAGAGCTTATTTTCCTCTCTTTTACTTTTTTTGTGTGGTTAATCCTCACCTGAGGATATTTTCCCATTGATTTTTTTTTTAAGAGAGTAGAAGAGAGAGGGAAAGACAGATAAAAACATCGATGTGTGAGAAACACATCGATTGGTAGCCTCTTGCACACCCGACCAGGGTCCGGGCCAGGGAGGAGCCTGCAGCGAAGGTACATGCCCTTGACCGGAATCGTACGTGCCCAGGACCCCCATCCCCACCCCCCTTTTTAAAAAAATATATTTTTATTGATTTCAGAGAAGGCAGAGGGAGAGATAGAAACATCAATGATGAGAATCATTGATGGGCTGCCTCCTGCAAGCCCCCCACTGGGAATCGAGCCCACAAACCAGGCATGTGCCCTTGACCCAAGACCCTTTAGTCTGCAGGCCAATGCTCTATCTACTGAGCCAAACCAGCTAGGGCTCCCTGGCTTTCACTCTGGACTGGGCCTGTGACTCGTTGTGGGCACAAGTGATATTCAGGGACCTCTTATCACAGATTTAAGAGGCCTGGCAGCTTCATTTCCTTCTTCTTAGAATACTAACTCTTGGAGCTCCCTCTTGGAAGCTAGCTTAGAAACCCAAGCCATCGAGACACAGGCCACGTGGAGAAAGGAGTTGCTCTAATCAACCGCTCCAGCTGAGGTCCCAGCTGCCAGACATCTGGTTGAGCCATCTTGAATGTTCCAGCCCAGGCAAGCCCGTAGGTGACCTCAGCTGATACATGGAGCACAAGAATCTCCCAGCTGAGTCCAGTTAACTCGGGTCATTCTGTGAGCGACAATAACATGGCTGTTGTTTTAAATCACTGAGTTACAGAGTGGTTTATTGTGCAGTAATAGATAACCAAAACAGCTACCCATCTGGCCACCTTTACATGACCCATGAGTAGGCTTGTACCCAATCTGACTCCGGTTAGAACCATGAAAAGAGCCTCGTTTCCTTTCTAGTGGCAAAGCCAGGAGGTGTGAGGCCCAGGAGCCTCCTCCATCCTGCAAAGAAAGCCAATTCAAAAGCATGATGGCAGATAGAGAGAAGCATGGATGCAGTCAGGGAGCCCTGGACAAGCTTGAGTTTGATTCTAGTTGGCTCGAGATCAGGCTGCCCAGCTCTCCTCCCATTTAACAAAACCTCCCCCTTTTTACCCCAGCTAGTTTGAGTTGAGCAACTTAAATCAACGAACCCTGATTGAGATGCTGGCTCAGCATTCCTAAGAGCACCAAATCAATGATGTATATGACTACACCTGGCCTATGGCTGATTATAATACCATTTTACACTGACCATATGGCAAACTATATAAAGTCTGACAGTATCAAGAATTGGTGAGGGTGTAAGCCAATGTGGGAGTGCATTATTTTTGGAAAATAATTTGTTATTATCTAGAAAGTTGGAAATGTGCCTACCCTACCACACAGCAATTGTGCTTCTATGTACATACCCCAGAGGAACTTGTGCACACACAAGAATATTCGAAGTAACTTTGTAATAGCTTATAATAGTAAAAACTGGAAGCTATTTTAAACATCTAATATAAAGAGAATAGATGTGTAAAATGTAGAATAACTGTGTACTGAAATGCTACCTTGGTTGTATTACTACAATTACTGGTTGCTTTACATGCAATAACATGAACATCACCAACATTAAGCAATAAAAAGAGCAAGCCATAGAAGAATTTATACAGTATATTCTATATATATTCTATAAAGCTCAAAATCAAGCAAGACTAAATAATATACAAAATATGAAGAAAAATTAAAAAGAAAAGCAAAACAAGACAAACTCAAAATTCAGGATGGTGGTTTTCTCTGAGTGAGAAGAATCAGAAGAGGTGAAAGTTACTTCAAAGTTACTGATGCCATTTTTCTTAAATTAAGTGGTAAGTATAGAATATTCAATTATTAATTATCTTCAACCATACATACACTTTATATGTACTCCTGTATGCAGTTATTTCATAATAAAACTTAAAAAATTTTATTAACTTTTAGAGTGGGAGGAAGGGAGAGAGAGAGGAGAGAGGAGAAAGAGAGAGAGAGAGAGAGAGAGAGAGAGAGAAAGAGAGAGAGAGAGAGAGAGAGAAGAGTCACATGGATCGGTGCCTCCTGCACACACCCTGACTGGGGACCAAATCTGCAACTGGGGCATGTGCCCTGACTGGGAATCAAACTGGTGACCTTCTGGTGCCAGGAATGACACTCCAACCAACTGAGCCACACAAACCAAGGCCATAATAAAATTTTTAAATGAATTTTTAAAAGGAATATCTTACCAGATTGAGCTAAATACTATAATCCAACCATATGCCTACTACAAAGGACACATTAACTAAAATCACATAGAAAGGTTAAAAATAAAGGGATAGATAGACAGTTATATCAGACAAACATAGACACACACAAAAAAGACAGAAGTAGCATTGCTAATCTAATGTAAGATAAATTAGAATTCAAGGCAAAAACCATAATAGTTTAGTGTGTTGTTTCATACATAAATATATGTAATCCACAATGGAAATGTTATCAGTCACCAACCACAATGAGATAAACAGCATAGCCTCAAAATATACAAAACAAAGAATAATAGAAAAAATCAAGGAAAATGACTGAAGCACAATTTATTTTTAAAAAATATATTTTTTTATTATTTCAGAGAGGGAGAGAGAAACATCAATGATGAGCATCATTGATCGACTGCCTCTTGCTCACCCCACACTGGGGATGGAGCCCGAAACTTGGGCATATGCCCTAAATGGGAATCAAATCGTGACCTCTTGGTTCATAGGTCGATGCTCAACCATTGAGCCATGCTGGCTGGGCTAATTTTAATACTTAAATTTCACAGTAAAAATAAATTTTTGGGTGAACAGTTCTACTAGTTTTGACAAATGCATAAAGTCTTGTAACCACCACCACAATCAAGATACAGAACAGTTCTATCACCCTTCAAAATGCTCTCGTGCTGCTCTTTGTGGTCATATCTCTCCCTGCCTTGCTCCCCCCTCCCCTCCCCTGCCCAATTCCTGGAAATTCTTTGATCTGTTCTCCATCCTTATAGTTTTCTTTTTTAGAATGTTCTATAAATGGAATCATACCATCTTTTGAGTCTGGCTCCTTTCACTCAGCATAATGCTTCTGAGACTCTTACAAGTGTTGCATGCATCAATAGTTTATTCTATTTTATTGCCGAGTAGCATTCAATTGTATGGATGTACCACAATTTGCTTACCATTCACCCAGTAAAGGACTTTGAGGTTGTTCCAGTTTGGGGGGAGAGGGGATTATAAATAATGTTGTTATAAACATTTGTGTACAGGATTTTTGTGTTAACATAAATTTCCATTTCTCTTGGGTAAAAACCTAGGGACAGCTAGGTCATATATAGAGTAAGTGTATGTTTAACTTTATAAGAAACTGTCTGATTTCTTTTCCAAATGGTTGTACTATTTTGTGTTCCCAAACAGTAATGGAGCAATTTTCTTGTTGCTTTGCATTCTCACCAGCATTTGGTATTTGAAGCATAATCTTAACACATCACTATCAATCAATGACAGAGCATACACTCACATCAACTATAAAATACAGAGATATGGACAATATAATTACAACACAGCTAAGGCTGAATTGATAAATATTTCATATCAACATTTGCAGATGATAGTAAAACCATCTTCATTTTAAGAATCTGTGGAATATATAAAAATAGATCATATTCTAGTTCAAAAAACTTAAATACATTTCCCACATACACTTAAATACAGTGTAGAAACTGTACCACACTGTAATAAATGTTGATATTAATAACACACGTTTAAACAGCAAAAAAATAATCATATCGAAGTGACAAAACACTTGCCAAAATAATTACTGCTCTAAATCAAATAGGAATTTTAAAATTTAACTAAAGACTAAAAAAATAAAAATAAGAGGCCCGTTCAACTACAGACTCGTAGGTTGAAATGTTTCATCATTACACACACACACACACACACACACACACACACACCAAAAAACATTTCCCTTATTAAGAGGAAAAAAGAATTCCCAAGGAAAACATATGAAGGAAATGAAGATAACCAGAAATTGTGACTGTTTACTGTTCCTTTTCCCAGTAAATGAAGCTCTTAGAGCACAGGGTCATATTCCTATGTCCACTGGTAAACAGTGTGCCTGGCTCACAGTACGAGCTCAATATTTAGCAACTTTTAACTTTCCTAAAGGTAGGCCTTCTCTCCTTTGGGCTTCCACAGTAGGCTGCTATCTTAGAGTTTATTAAAGTATTGGAACCACATACGTTTTCCACATCAAAAAAGTCCTCTAAAAACAATTATCTACCACTCAGAATGTGCCGGGCGATTGGCATTAATCCCCTTAATCATCACAACTTTTTTTGGATATTCTTTTTCAGAAACTGAGGCTCAGAAAGGTTAAGTGACCAAGGTCATAGAGGAACTCATCACACTATCCAGATTCGGTTGCACACCATTCTCCTTTCCCCCCACACAAGCTCTTTCTACCGGAAAAGGTTACAGTGAATTCAGGGGCAAGGTTCGTTTGCCACCTTTGTAGCCACAGCTCCGAACCTTGTTACTGGTACAGAGTACCCCAGACAATTAGGCATTACTTGCGTCCTGTTGTTTGTAAAGTTTTCTTTTGTGGGCCATAGAGAGACGCGCTAATTACCAGCCCGCCACCGAGACCTGGAAAGAAATCGGGAATAATTAAGGACTCTCCTAGCCTCCCAGCTCCACGGTTGGCTTGTAACCACTCTATATTCTGGAGGACTCAGCGAGCACGGCCAATCATTAGGCCACTTTCCAGGCACGTGGCCGGAAGTTTGACTTGCTATTGGTTAATAACAGTAAGGCCCGCCCAAGCACCCTGCCTGCTTCTTTAAATAGAAGCCGTGGGCGCTCCTCCGTCTCTCGGCGGCTGTAAGCTTGCGAGGTGAGGCTGTCTGTGCGGTGGGTTGTGGCGGGCAGGCCTCGGGTGTTCGGGCCCTGGAGCCGGGTGGGAGGCGAGTGGCCAGCGGTGATGACATACCAATCAAAGCACGTGTTAGACTGCTGACAAGGGTGATGCGAACTAGAGTCTGAGCCTGGCCGCCGGCGGGGCGAGGAGGGAACAAGCCGGCGAGGGCGCACCCGCTCACCCCCCGCTCTCGTTGCAGGTCCGGCCGGCCGAGGACGTCGGATCCATTGCCCTCCCAGCGCTTCGACCCTTCCCTGAAGGCTCTTAATAAAACAGATTGTTCCTACCACTGGTGTCTGTGTTTCTTGTCGTGACGCGCTGCCTTTGAGCCCCCGCTGCGCCTGCGTGTGGCGCCGGGGGTCAGGCTGCAGCGCCAGAGCAGCTGCTTGCGCATAACTGGGGCCTACGGCGCTCTGCCGGCGGCCCTTTTAACCGCGAGCGACACGGCCGCACGCTCTGTCGGGATCGGGTTTTCCGGGGGTTTGGACTGACCCAGCCTTTGAGCTGAGGTTGAAATGCCCTAAGGAGACATTGGGGATCCTGTAGGCTCTGCTACCGAGTGTCGTCCCCCCCCCCGCCGCCCCTTTCCTGTGCTTGCCCTGCAAGTCCCGGCTCTCCTTCAGTGAGACACACATGCACCTGAAGTTAACCGCGGTGTGCGTGGCGGTAGAGAAAAAGACCGGCTGTGGCCTTGAGCAGCTTAAGGGCGTGGTGTATTCGATAGGAACCGGCTTCGGTCGTGTCGGTAGTTATGTGGAAGGATTTAATCTGGCTAAGGTGTAAATTTAAGGACCAACTGCTTGTTTGGATACTGTGGGGCTAAAGCGTTGGGTGAATGTGTCCCAGTCCAGTTAGCCTAAACAGCTTAGAACAGTGTAGTTGTGAAGGTTAGGTTTTTATGGTTTACTGGGCACAACATGGGCACCTCGATAGTTGCAGTCAATCCTTTGTAATCCAGATTCTTTTTTAAAAATACATTTTATTGATTTTTCACAGAGGAAAGGAGAAGGATAGAGAGTGAGAGACATCGATCAGCTGCCTCCTGCACACCTACTGGGGATGTGCCTGCAACCAAGGTACATGCCCTTGGCCGGAATCGAACCTGGGACCTTTTCAGTCCACAGGCCGACACTCCATCCACAGAGCCAAACCGGTTAGGGCTGTAATCCAGATTCTAATTGAACAATCTAAGCTGGGCTTATATTTAATGTGCATCACTTCTGAGGAGGAGGAAGCACAGGTGCAGAATAAACTGCATTGGCACCTGGAGGGGGCTCCAAGAAACAGGACTACTGGGCAATACAGGTCAAAACCGTTCCCCTCAGATTAAATGTGGATTAAGGATAATAGCACTTACCTCATGTCGGGTGTGGTGAGTGACTACCTGGGATCCTTAAGAATGCTGGTCCAGTGATCACCCAGGAAATAGTGCCCACGTGTCCCTATTTAATTAGGATTCAGTAGAAATAACAGATGCCTTTATCTAGTATTTGACATGAGATTTATTTTGTGAAAGAATGCAAGCAATTGTAAATCCCCCATATACTACTTGAAGTGCAATAGGGTACAGTCATGTGTCATCTCTTTACAATACACAGTAGTGCATCTAGTCCTCTGCCTTTAGTTATTGCACAGAAATTATAAAGACCAGTGAACAAGACATGCGGACTGACTGGCAAACTGGCCTACACAATGAGAAATTGGAACAGCACACTGACTGGGATGGTCAAATTTAAGTCAAATGGTTAATGGTCCAATTAAAGTAATCAAGTAAAGGTTCAGGTGTTTTTTTCAATATATTTCTTTAAAGTCATGTTCAGGCAGGGTGCTGTTTAAAAAAACACTATTAGTACACATAAATTATCAAAAGTTACCCAAGGTAATTTTGATGTTGAATGCAGCTTTAAACAAATTTTAAATTCTCAAAGCAAATTATACAATTAGGGCCTCCACACTTGTAAACGAAACATTCTGACACAAATGCACAAATTAAAGTTGGCAACGTTGAAGAAATGTCACATTAATTTTGAGATATGTAGTGTTTGATGAGCAGGCTTTTGGTCTTGACTCGTGATAACAGATGTTAAATTTGGGTCATCAGAAAAGGAAACTGACCACAATAGATCCCAAACTAGATGAGCAAAGCCTTTGCATACCTATGAAGTTTCCTGGAGCACACTAGAAGACGGTGACCTGGTCATGATGTGGTGTTTAACGTTTTCATGTGCTGTCAGGAAATTATTTGGGATTAGAACCAGGTGGTTATATATCATTGGTAAAAGGCTTGGGATAGTTTGATATTGTGTCAGTGTATGTTCTATGGCTACTTGCTTCCAAGACAAATTAATATGAAGAAAAGTAAGTTGCTATGCATATCTTTATCACCAATGAAATCGTTTACAAAATTCCATTCCCCACCCTCCACATGGTACCACATTGACATTCTCAAAATGCGGAGGGCTGCATCACATAAACTAGGAGTGAGAAAATGTTCCACTTGTGCTCTGGCTGCCTGAGGAAAAGCTTTGGAGTTGAGACAAGGGGAAGGAAGCCTTCCAATTGTAGCTTTGCTCTTAATGTGCTCTTGCTGCCACAAAAACTGGTAGACTCAAAGCCATGGTATGAGTCACAAAACCTCTGGATCCACCTTGATTCTTCCAATCTCCTTTGAGTCAAAGTTTTGCAGTAGGCAATCCAGACACCAGTTGCTGGATGCATGGAATGACACCTCACAGTGGAATGGGCACTGGCAGGCAGAGGGCAGAAGCTGTGGTGAGGAAAGGCCTGTGCTACAGCAGACAGGCAGCCAAGAACCCCGCACCTGGATCTAGATCTCAACACTGGCAATGTCAGGTCTTTACCCATCACAGCTGGTCAGCAGCCTCCACGAGTGGGTCTTTGAGGAGGCAGGAAGTGGAGCGAGGGTCCATGGCTGAGTGCATTATAGGGACATACACATCATCCATGTTTGGCATGACAAACACTTTCTGTAGGAAGAAAGAACAGCCATGTAGAAAATGTTTTGTTTTTTCACTTTTCTTTTTGGTGATATTAAACTTTCCAGAAATCGGTTTTGTTATATTTAATCTATAGCTTTTAAATAATAAAAAGCTTCCATGGCAGTAACTCAAAACTTACCTCTACGAAAATACATGTATTTTACAGGTGAAACTCAGTACAAAGTAAATAAGTTGCTAATAGATAAAACCTTGAGAGACAACTGTGCCTCAAATATCTGATTAAAACTGGATAAAAATAGCTCATCCCAGAGCCTGGGCTACATTGCTATTAACTTTTGGTGGAGAACGCAGAAGACAGGCTTGGAGAATGAGCTCTTAGGAAACTCCAAGACTGCTCTAGAAGATCCACAGGGGAGGGACAGGTCTGGTGCATCTTTAGACTCCCGGGACAGGGGTAGCTGTTCACAGAAGGGTTTCTAAAGAATGAACAAACTGAGCAAAGTGGGTATCACACAGAGCGGGAGCAACTTTGCTGACCATGGGTGGGTGCTACTAGCTGGCCAATTTCCGGGCCCACAAAATCCAAAGATGGACCCAGCAGGCAAAGGGCTTAACCTTCGCCAAGCCTACTGGCAGAAGATAATCATTTTGTTCTTTGGCCCTACCTTTTGGGTTTCCCTTTTGAAGACCACTTAACAGTGTGCTGTGGATGAGTTCAGAGTTTCTGAAACCACCTGAAGTTTATACCTGTTTGATCATATGTGTACTTTCCTGGGATGAGGCTCCTCAGAGGAGGATCCTGACCCACATGAAGTTCAGCGCCTCTGTTCTCTACCCAGAGCTAGCCTTGGTGTGCAACACGAGATGACAGTGCAGGTGTACCTGAAACTCTTGCTCCAGTTTCTTCTCTATCCAGTCTGTCACATGAACTAAAGTCACTTCTCTCTCTCCAAGTTTTGGCCGAGCTTTCAGCTCCACATATGGTGGCTTCCGGAAACCATACCTTTTTTAAAAAGACAATAACCACATTTAGAAGCAAAGAAAGGAAGCACACATTCCTCATTTACACAGGCCTTTACCATTATTTAACCATTCTTATTCTGATAATCCCCTCTGGAAAGTAATTCAGCACAGTAAGTATGATCTGAACTCCCTGTGTCCTGAGCCATGTGTAGGGCTGTGATGATCTGAGAACAGTTCTGACAAATGGCAAGCCAGGAAGCCCCAAAGGAAAAGTCAGTGACCTGGGCTTGGTTCTCCTAAAATGAGAACAACCTTCTTTCTTTCTTTTCTTTCTTTTCTTCTTTCTTTCTTTCTTTCCTTCCTTTCCTTCCTTCCTTCCTTCCTTCCTTCCTTCCTTCCTTCCTTCCTTCCTTCCTTTTCTTTCTTTCTTTCTTTCTTTCTTTCTTTCTTTCTTTCTTTCTTTCTTTCTTTTCTTTTCTTTTCTTTTCTTTTCTTTTCTTTTCTTTCTTCCTTCCTTCCTTCCTTCCTTCCTTCCTTCCTTCCTTTCTTTCTTTCTTTCTTTCTTTCTTTCTTTCTTTCTTTCTTTCTTTCATCTACCTACCTACCTATCTATTTTTTAAATTTATTTATAAATATAAATATAAATAAATAAATAAATATATATATATATATATATATATAAAACCCAAAATATACAAGTGTATAAAGCAGAAAGTGAAAGTGGCTCTCTGAATATCACTCCCGAGATGGGACACTGAGAGAAGTGGTCATGTTCCTCACACCCAATATGCATGTGTAAAGAGAACATTCCATAGCCTTTTTCATTCCACACTTCCTACCACACTTACTATGGCTTCTCCAGGGAGCAGACTGGTACTCAGAACTTGGTAAAGTATCCAGACAAGAGACTATGTGCTATCAAACTATCTAAAAACTTCAATTTGTCATGGACCAATGTTTTAAAAACCACAATAAAAATGTCAAATTGCTATAAATGTCCTAAACATCCTAAATATCTAGACTTATCTTTGTGGATCATTAATAAATGGTTCAGCATTTGAGCATGCATCCTAGAGGCCTTCAATTTTATCTCCCATTGAGCAGTGGCATTTATAACTGATAAAGCTTAGAAGGGAAAGAAATGTTATCAACTCTTAGTATTTAAAAGCATTTAAAATTAGGTTTGGAAGACTGTACAGAAAGGTATTAACTGGTTATTTTTGGATGATAAGATTATAGGCTTTTTTCCCTATGAAAATATTACTTTATTAATAAAATCTAAAATGACATTTTTAAGTTTTTACTGGGAGACACCGATAAATCATTAACTGATGAGTCAATTCAAAAATCCTCTGGATCATCCCCA